TTTGTTTTACCTCTTATTATGTTTTATTGACATTCTATTTTAGAATTTTGTTTCAGTTTTTGTGTATATATTTGAATACAGGAATAAATATTTTGTTTCTCAATTACACTTTTTCTCTTTATTTTTGAATTCAGAATCAAAATTTTTAGTAATTCATACTGTTGCTAAAAACAAAACTAGATGCGTTACTGCGTTTTAAAAAACTCATTCAGGTGAATACACTTTAAGTTCCTACATCTGTAAATGTATTTGCGGAAGTTTTTAACAATTAACAGTAATATTTGGTTATTTGATCACGCAATCCATTGTAGTGACACACAACGTGTTGAAAGAATATATGTATATTGCATCAAAGATAATCTTCCCTGACAGTACATCCTTTACATAATACTATTATTTATCATATCTTTTCTTGAGTGCTTTCTCTTGCTTTTACGACATCCTTTATTTAGGTTATTTCAGAATTTTTTCTCCACCACACAAAAACTTCATAATTTCTGTTATTGTCGTGAATCACATTATGGATAACGGCTCTTACGATTTATTTATGGAATCGTATATTTTAAAGAATATTTATGTACAAACAGGGATATAAGAGGGTTAGGAAAATCTTATTCAATTTCGAATGTTAAATAAATATGCGAACCTATAATTCTCACAAAGTTCAAACTTTTCTTTTTCCGTATTGTTGGATCAAATAAATTGAATAGTTACTTCAATAGGCCGTATTTATAAAAATAAAGTATTTACTTTTAAGTAAAAGGTAGAAGCAGAAGGTAGGGAGGAAAAAGGTCATTATACTCTCGGCTCTTGTTCATTAAACATACTTTTTCATACAGTACCTGCTAAAAGTTTTGTTCAATCATGAATAGTAGTGCGAGTCGAAACCAAGCGTTAAAGCCTTTAATATGTCTTCAAATATAAATAAACATCTCGTTGACATTTCCAGTATAAATGGTACCAATAACAGCACATTGAGCAATGCAATTGTAGTGGATAAAATGATGAACTTTTCCGTGCAGTACTGTACACATTATACGCTTCTCACCTGTTAGGAGTTTGGCCGAGAGCTGTCTTCTTTCTTTTCTGACCTAGTGCTGTTCTTTTCTACTTTGCGCCGGTCAAACTAAAGGTCACATCGCAACAGAAAGTAAACGAAATGGGAAAAGGGAAGTGCTTCGGATTAATAAAGTAAAAGGTACAAATTAGCCTCTACCGATTTCGAGAAACTAGTTGAAATTTGCATTGTGCAATTAACGTGTGTGTGTTCCATGACAGCTGTTTATTTTATTTGTTTAATATATTCCTGATTTACTTGTGTAGTGTTTAATGTTAGCAAATTTAAAATTGTTCGCACAATAACGCAGAAATATTTTCATTTTCTGCACAGGTTACACGGCTGCTCCACGTGTTTCGGGATGCAGTCGACTCTGGTTAATTCAAACCTGCGATAATTCGAACCTTTCTATAATTCAAAGTTATCACGAGTTCCTTACAAAATCTCTTTATATTTCGAACTAAATCAACACATTTTTATGCACTTGGTAATTCGAACGAAAAAAATCGTTGCTACGTAACAAAACGACGCATTAATTCGAACTCATCGGCGTCAAACACTCGACAATTCAAAATTCCAGAGAGAAAGAGACAGAAAGATTGTATGTATATACATACATTTTGAGGCAAGTTAAAACTTGTATCATCGTATCATCGAGCCTTTGTTTTTGTTATGATTAGGAGAAAATTTATGCTGTTCAAACTGCTGGAGTACGGAAAAGAACTACTAAAGGTGAATTTCCTCGTCTGGAAGAAAGCCTGGTCATTTGCTTAAAACAGTGTAGAGGACAAAGAGTGTCTATTAGCGGAAACTTGTTAAAGGAAAAAGCAAAAGAGTTCGCGTCTTCTCTAAAGATCAAAAACTTCGCGGCAAGTGAAGGGTGGCTTACAAATTTCAAAAAGAGAAAAGAGAGAAATGAAAATATTTATTTTCTCTCAAAAATTTCGAACCATTTGCTATTTCAAACACTCGATAATTCGTAACATTTTAAGAGTCCCTCGAGTCGACTGTATACTCTAAGAAAGTGGTCCGGTCAACCACACGATATTCTCCTCCTCAAATCTAAATAACGTTTTAATATTTGATTCTCGTGATGCACGTCTTGGTTTGTAGTAAACTTTAAAACTTTTGGGTGTTTCATTTCCACCAGCCAGTAATGCTGGTGGGCGGGCAGTCCCTCCGGACTATACCGGAAGGTAGGGCGGAAGGCCCTCTTCAGCCTGCTTTCAGGAATCGTGGGAATGGGTGGGTGGTGGTTCGGGTGAGAAAGTTGAGACGAACGAAATGAAGACAGAAGAGAATGAAAGATTATCTGTGGAATATTACTGCCTCAGCATTTGCCTAACTGATCCAAGGAAACCACAGAAAAACTTGGACCAAGGCAGACGGACCCGGAATCGAACCGGCGCCCTCCCGAATGCTAAGCAATGGTCTAGACCTCTAGGCCATGCCGCTCGGTTGGTTTGTAGTATTTGCTTGTATGTAAATGCACTATATGAGCCATAAGAAGCACAATACTGGAATCACACAACTAAAGATTACTTATACAAGTCCTTTTAAATAGATTTTAACATAAAAACAGTCCTACAAATACATAAATTTTTACGTTACAAACTGTATGATGCCTGGGCATCTACTGAAAAGTTGAAAAGAGCGAGAAAAGTGGTTGTGAACCTAGATTCCTTTCTTTAGAAGCAAATCCTTTAGTTTTTGAGCAGATGCTTCTTTTTATAAATACAAATTATGTAAAACCTTTTACTTTAAAGCAAACCCTCGAAGCAAAACATTTTCCTTCGCTTTTTTTATGCACATATCTTGAAGGAATTGTTTCAATTTTTGGAAGCAAAAGGTAAGGCTTCTTTTTATAAATGCCACATAATGTCTACAGTTGAAAATCGAAATTTAGCGTAAAGTTCAGTTTCAGATTGTAAAAATGCCAGTGGTATAATACAGATACAATAGGTAAAATACGTATCGATGAATCTTTGATATTTTACATAAAAGATGACATAAAACACAATTCAAAAAACACAAAATGACAAACTTCACTTGTTTTTATTCGACTCAGCAAATTTGTTTCGGCCGACGCGGCCATTAAAAATTCAATTTAACATTTATCGAAAACCAACCACAACCGATACATTCATTCCATCATTCAATTATTCACACCCAAAACAAACAGAATAGACAGTGTTTCATTCTCCTCTACACCGATTAATTAACGTACTGTTATGCGCTTTGGATTTCAAGAAGTGAAACTTCTTTAGATTGTATATTATAATAGTATTTTTAAAAAAAGGTCGGCTTGAATCTATTGCATTAACAAATTACTAAACACCATATTTCGAGCGGACCAGTACGCAATATTGGTTTAGTTTTGTCAAAAAATTTACGCTTGCACCATACAAAACTGCAAAGAGGAATTACAAATCAAAACAAACACAAACGCATATGTCACACATACGAGGTCTGTTCAAAAAGTATCGCGAATTTTGTATTTTTTCAAAAATTTCTTGATACATATGATTTTTATGTATTTACTATAAGCGTTCCACATTTTTCCGATTCGACTAGACTTGAACTTTGACGAAACTTTTGTACAAACTAAAGTGGGTGGATCGGCTTGCGAGTTTCGATGATTTAGAGAGTCGGACCATAGGTTCAACCATAATGGGGGTGGGTATTCTTAAAGAGAAAACAGACTAAGACAAGTGTCGGAAATAGGGCAGCACCTCTTTCAGTACTCAGGGTGGCAGAGATCACGAGGATCGTTATGGCACTCTGATGCACAATACTGCAATGTGGAAGGCAAAGGGAAACCACCACATTATGATCCCGAGTAAAACGTACAAATTATAAATTAAATGATGGCGTCCTCTGGGGTAAAGCACTCCAGACGTAAACTAGTCCCCCATTCGGATGTCCGCGCGGGGACTATCTCGGGGGATGTCATCAATAAGTGTAATAGGGATAGGTGCAATATTTCACGAGTCGGGGCGTGAAATGTTAGGACAATGAGGCAAGTAAATGTAGAGGTATCAGAAAGAATAGGAGAACAGAGGACTCTATGGAAGTCAATAAAAAACCGGCGGCGATCTGTATACCTTTATAACGAATAAGTAATGATTGGTGAAAGAGAGAGTAAGAGAATTTTCAGGATTTATGTTTTCCAACATATTTTATCTTTAGTCCACAAAAGAGTATTACTTTGATACGTTTTTATGTAATTCAATAATAAAAAAATGGTCAATTTTTTTTTCTCCTCCGTTTATTTTTCCAAGTTCTTAAGAAACCGTAAACTCTCAATAACTACAAGGAATTAGAATGAATACATAATAATACTCACTCTTAAATAAATATTAATTGTTGTTAAATAAACATTTAGTGTAATACACTTACCGTAATGTAACTACACAGGTATAACCAAAACATTAATTTAGCATTATAGTATAGTGAATACACAGTATACTATAATATATGAGATGCCGGTCACTAACAGCTGACTATAACACCCATATGCGCGCCTTTCTATTCTCATAGCCTATCGCTTCGCACGTTGCAAAACGTGTCGTTTCATGGCCTTGAGATTTTACTCTCATTGAGCCCAAAGAAGTTTCACTTCAAAAATTTCAAAACGGGTGGTTGATGATTTTTTAAGTTACTAAAACCAGTTTCTATAGCATTTGATGAAATAAATACGAAAAAATACTGACCACCATGAACTTCTTTGTTTGAATGTTTTATTTTTGTTCGTACTCTTGCCATTGCTTGACAGAAACAAAGGGAAATAAATATAACAAAGTAACATATTCTTCGTTTTCATTTACAGAAAATAAATAAATAAAAACGGTTAATAGCAGTTGACAAATCTTTTGCTGTACACTTAATTACGCTGGTGACATGGATGCAGCAATTCAATTAAGTTCAACATTTAATGAACAAGACGCCCTTTGTAGTTACCTACCGTATAAATTATCGCAACAGTATTCTATTTTCGTATTTGCACTGTATGTAACAGACGTTTGTGTGAAAATTTACTTTGTAGTATTGAAGTTAATTAAAGAACACGAAAGCTCTCCGATGGTAATAGCCAACACAATAAACATTTGTAATGATAAAACAGTAATACAAAAAGAAAAAGTGTTAGCAGTGGCACTTGTCACACCCGTTTTACCGCAAAAATCCTTCACCAAGCGCCAAGCGAGAAAAGCAACTGAAGAAGTATAATTCCTTGGATTCTTACCGCACAAATAGTCCTAATCTATAACTTGCAATCTTCTATTTTTGAAGTGATTCGTTCGGCAGTCGGTTCTCTAGGTTCTAAGTGGATTGCCGGCGAATTGTTTGCCGCACTGGGATGTAAAAGTGTGTCTAGTGTGTGTTCGTCACCGTTGCGAAACCTATTTAAACTACCAGTGAACATACAGGGTAAAAACTGTTTGAACTCTTTCCGGAAGTTTTCGTTCAGCCAAGCATACAAAAATGGATTGTAGCACGTTGAGGACATTGCGATCGCGTGGGCAAGAAAGAACATCAGATGAAAGTATGGACCGTATGCATAAAAATCGTTAATGACGTTAATGAGATTCAGTGGGAACCAACAGAATCCAAATATCGCTACCATGGCGATGAGCATTCTATTAGTTCTTCGTTTCCTTTCTCTTTCGATTTCTTCTTTTCTTGCAGTTTTGCTACCCGGTTTGGTCTTCGCTCTTTGATTCAGTCTTTGAGATATTCGCAGATAGCAGAAGGCAATTATGCAGAAGGGAACAACGAATTGCATTACAAGCGTAAAGGTGCCAAAAGCTTTCTCTAAATTTTCAATTGGCCAAGTTTCCTCGCATACATCCCGATCTACATGCACTTTCATTTGCATCCATATACCGTAGGGTAGCGTTATTAATAAAGAGAATGTCCAAATGCCGAAAAGAACACACAAACACGTTGTTATTTTCATTCGTTGTCTCAAAGGGTGCAAAATAACGAAATATCGGTCGATCGCGATGGCTGCTAACGTTAACGTGGAAACATATACACTAGTCGCTTGCGCATACGGAACTAAATGACAGATGACTTCTCCAAAAATCCATCGACCTATGAATGTGTAAAGTGGGGTAAAGGGCACAGCTAACAAACATAACAGAATATCTGACAATGCAAGATTTGTAATGAAGAGATTCGTTACTGTTTGCATAGACTTATTGTAATAAACTATATAACAAACAAGTAAATTGCCAGAGAGACCTAACATGAAAATTATGCTGTACAAAATATAGAACACGACTTGGACTAACACATTGCTTGTAATGTTGTCAGGAACCACCTCTGATGAATTGTTTGCTAATGCCATTACGGTTTCCTTCTGAAACAAAAAAAAATATTAGTTACCAATACCACATGAGCGGAGTGCTTAAATGTTAAGAAAATAATATAAAAGAGACTAGCTGAATTTATTACTCAGAACAAAATAATTGGGGAGAGGTAGTATGAAAGAACGAGTAACGAAAAGGACAACTCAAATAGATTCTGACGGAATATAAGTATTTTTGCTGTGAGGTAGCACCCGTTCACGTTTGCTCTTAACTTCAAGGACCTGGCATTTCATAGACTCGAGTATCTTGAATTTATTGGCACTAGTGATGGGGAAAAGTTAGTATTGCAAAACCACGTCCAAGACCGAACCAACAAGATCAAGGCTAAAATCAAAAACCAAAGTACAAAACAAAGACCAAATACGCCAGACTAAATAAAAAATTATTACATCCGGTGGATTAATGAGTTAAACTATTCGAAGCAATTTTAATATATTCTTTTCTTGTAACAAAACATAATGTANAAGAATAGTAGTTATGCTAATTGTAGAAGTAATTTGGATGCATAGACTTCTTGTTTTGTAAAAAATTAATTTTATTTTTGATGGTTTGAATTTGCAAAAAATAAATTGTTAAAAGTAAAAAGAGGAGACTGTGGTAAGTATTAACTAAAAAATTAAAAAAGAAGACTCACCCCTAATTACCACAAAAAAACTTTTCTCTCGCGTTGATAATGCCCACGTATAAAGTGGGCGAAACACGTGTCCGCTCAAAAAGTTTTTTGTGGTAATTAGGGGTGAGTCTTCTCTTTTAATTTTTTAATAAAATTGTTGTTTTGATAAACCTTTATGCATGGTTTTACTGCCATTATATTTTTCAATTTCAACTATCTTTTATCGGGCACTATATCTAGGTACTACAAATAAAATTGTGGAAAGCATTACGAAATATGTAATAATAAGTGGAAAAATTCGGTTTTCAGCTTGACCTAATTTTTTTTCATCTTGTCCTGATTACATAGTCTGGCTACAGTTCTGTAAATAGTGTAATCAAATTTTTTTTATGAATTCTGTTTGTGACACTTTATCAATATATATTTAAAACATTACTGTGTATATTTAGTTTGCGTTCTCCGAATGAAAAATGTTAGACAGTTAGATTTTTATTTTAAATATATCAAATAGTTATTTATCAGTATTCTGGCAAAAAAAACAATATCCTGGAGATGCCTGGATGTCTAAGATGTCATGTATAATTTGTTACTAACATTCTATAATAGAGACGCCACTTCTGGCATACAATATCGTTACGCTGAAGAACAAAGATACGTTATTGAAATAGTTTTCCATAAAACGAAAGACTGTTCAAGCATAAACGAAAAGTCTCATAAAATATACATGTCAAAGGTCGTTTCAAACACAATTCTAAAGGTACGCCACTTTGAAATACATTCTAATTTTGAACTCTGAATAAAGATGACATCTACATTCAGGTTAATTGAAGTTGTGACCTAGAGCTAAAGAAAACACTCTTTAGTGTAATGTCAGCAACACAAAAAGGGCGTAACACTAGAAAATCGATGATGGATATACTGCCCTTTAAGTTCATGTTTGCAATCTAACATCGGTTTAAAGGAGAAGAAAACAAAACGTAATGTGTATATTATTATCTATACATACTTACATATTTACTATTAGAAACCCTTACTGAAAATTAGTCGATTTATATGAAAAAACGATAGAAAAAGGAAAGGGTGAGTACATAGGATTTGTAGGTTTAGAAAAAGCTTTTGACAATGTTAAATGGGACACAAGATGTTAAATATACTTAAAAATGTAGCGATGAGTTACAGAGATAGAGGAGTGAAACTTAGATTGTATAAAGAGCAACAGCCAGTTTTAGAGCTGGGGCTGCAACGTAGAGAAGTAAATATTAGACAGGAATGCACACTGTTACCGCTACTTTTTAATCTATACATCGAAGACGTGATCAACAACCATTAAAGACAGTACACCTGTAGGGATAGATACAGAGGAGCAAAAGATTAGTATGTTTAGACTTGCAGATGATATAGCAGTATTAGCATCTAGCAAGGAGGAGTTAGAGATATTTAAATAAAATGGAAGCGGTATTGACAAAACAGTACTGTATGAAAATAAACTAAAGTAAATTAAAAAAAAGGAATAAAAAGGAGGCTAAGAACGAATATAAAGCTAAAAGAAGAAAAATTAGAAGAAATGGCTGATTTTAGGTATCTAGGAAATCAGATAAGTCAGGACGGAACGAGTAGTACAGACATAAAGCAGAAGATAGTGCAAGGTCAAGTCGCCTTCAATAAAAAGAAGTCACTTCTATGCTCGCGAAAGGTTAATTTAGAAATTCAAAAAAGATTGTTAAAGGTGTATGCTTCGAGCGCGGCGCTGTACGAGTGCGAAACATGGACGGTGGGCCCGGCGGAAAAGAAAAGGTTAGAATCGTTCGAAATGTGGTGTTACCGGCGAATGATGAGGATACCATGAATAGAGAAGGTTAGACATGAAGAGGTATTAGAAAGAATAGAAGAACAGAGGATTCTATGGAAGTCAATAAAAACTAGGCGAAATAGGTTGGTAGGAGGACACCTTCTCAGGCATGAAGGTCTAGTCAGAGGCACATTAGAGGCATAACGGGAGTTAGGAGATGTAGAGGTAGACCGAAATTGGATTAATGTTCGCAAATAGTTTAAGGATGTGGGTTGTTCTGTTTTTAGGGAAATGCGAAGATTAGCTCAGGATATGAAAGAGTGGAGGTGCGTGTCCAACCAGTTTTAGGATTGACGACCTTATGATGATGATGATGATGATATTATTTGAATTATTTTAAAAGTGGTTTGGTTTACACGCCATGAAACGGTTTAATTAAATAAGAAACTAAAATAGTAAAATTCTTGGTGTGCGTTCCATTGATAGTTTATCAGTGTAACTCCAGTAGTAGGCATAAAGGTCGAAATGCGCATGACTGAATTAAGAGGCATTCGCTTTACGATGGTTACACAAATATTGTCTTCTGATAAGCTTGTGTGATGCCTTTAAAGTGTTGAAAGCTCATGCTTATATTGCAGAGGCACAGGCACAGTTAAGTCAAAGGTTCGAGATGATTAAAAAAATAATTTTTATTACACTTGGTTACAGCACACAATACAATAATATGACAACACAACTGTTTTTAGCAAACTGACATAGTAACAATTGTAGAACAGAAAATAGAACTTGTCTTTTTACATAAATTAACCAGAATATATATAGGTCAGAAGTGTGACGTTTTCAAATTAAATAGGGCCTCAGGACAGTCATCCAAAATAGAAAGGTGTCTCAGGGTCCATGTACTTAATGAATTAGAAAGGAGCCCTCAGGGTTCACGTACTTAACAGCACTGTATTTTAAAACTCTTAAGGAGACTATCGATGTAAGAGAAATCATCTGACAGTGATATACAGCAATAAATTATAGTTTTGTTCACCAAGTTATAATTATCGGTCGAGTACTTAAGGCATGAAATCATAACAAACAATCAAATTCATATTCGCATTTGTAATATTAGATAGGATTCTGGATGAACAATTCCAACCAGATTGCCGCGTTTCTCCTCACCACACATAGGATAAAATAGCGTAACTCCATTAGAATCAATGAAGTGTATTTTGTTTTTCGCGCTTAGCCGCTACACGCTTCCCCAAAGTATGCGTTGACCTTTAAAGCAAATTGAAACAATGACCTCGTTAAGGAAGGATTACCTTCAATTAAACTTGGAACGCCAAAGAAGTCGATTCAGGGCGAAAAGATAATTCCAGACACTTAATATGATTTTACCGTATCGATAATAATCCCTGCTTCCAGGTTGTAAAAAGAGTCATAAAAGAAGTAATATATAGGTAACCGACGCACCGTTGATACCGCACGGAGTCATAAAATGTCTTTCCTTTTAAGCATTCTACATCTGCAACCGTCCACGATGGCAAATCCTTAAAATTCTACCGGTTAATATAAGTTTGCTGCTCTCCATAAAATGGGAACAGTTTTACTCAATCCCATGATTAACTTAGTCGTAGTGGTAAAGGATACTTACGTTTATATAGTCGAGAATCCACTAGACCAGTGCATTTTAAAATGACTATAAAAAAAATGATGTGCATACTTCAGCACATTTTAACTAAAACTAATATTTTATCTTTTAAAGAACATATTCATCCAAGTCAATAATATAAACATACAATTCTATACCTAAATGACACATTTTGAAAAACTAGATACGAACGAAACAATTGAGAAACGTAAGCGAAAGGTTGTGCTGTAGATGAAATAACTGTTAGTGACTGGAAAAGAAATCGTACCATAAATAACAGTGGAGTTCACACAAAGCTAAGTCGCTTTGAAGAAAATCGATGAGAAATGAAGACTGGAAATGTAAATGAACAGAACTGTCAATTATGGTCACCTGTGATCGATCAAGGTGGACACGTTGAAGGAAATCAGGAAAAAGGTGGGTGGCAGCCGTCTAATAAAGACGTGTTGACGGATAACAAAAATATCTAATTAATTGCCAAGGTAGGAGAGACAGGGGCTGGTCGTGACAGGGGTAGGTAGTTACGGCGGCTACGATGGCTAAACAAATAACGCTATTTTGACGTAAAAAAGACACAAATGATTATTCAATCACCGGTTAGCACGTCTCGCGAACTAGTGGCACTAGCGCTTTTGTAAAAGGAGCCCTTATATTTTGCCATCAAAACCGCAGGTTAGTAACATTTTCGTTTTTTCGTAATATTGGTCTACAACCTCTTTTCTTTTAAAGCAGATATATATGTGTTGTTATATTTGTACCCTAATCCTTACTTTTTGCAACGAATCGACGTTTATACAGGTATACTTATTTGCGGTTTTACTACTTGACCTTGAAAGGTCAGTTTTTGCGTTGGGGCTAAAAGTGACATTTTCTCGGGGCATGTTGTTATTTGTTACTACTTGCCCCGTACTACTGCACAGGAATAGAGCAAGAAAAAGGAAATTACATC